GGGGGCTGGTGGGTGGGTCCAGGAGGACCAGCAGGGGGCTGGTGGGTGGGGCCCAGGAGGACCAGCAGGGGGCTGGTGGGTGGGGCCCAGGGTGACCAGCAGGGGGCTGGTGGGTGGGGCCCAGGGTGACCAGCAGGGGGCTGGTGGGTGGGGCCCAGGGTGACCAGCAGGGGGCTGGTGGGTGGGTCCAGGGTAACCAGCAGGGGGCTGGTGGGTGGGGCCCAGGGTGACCAGCAGGGGGCTGGTGGGTGGGGCCCAGGGTGACCAGCAGGGGGCTGGTGGGTGGGGTTCAGGGTGACCAGCAGGGGGCTGGTGGGTGGGTCCAGGGTGACCAGCAGGGGGCTGGTGGGTGGGGCCCAGGAGGACCAGCAGTGGGGGGAATGGGCTGGTTTCCTGGGTGACACATGGGTAAGCACTGGAGTACTGTTAACCAGAGGATTGGTAGTTGTAACCCACCCAAAGGCGCTTTGGAAGTACAGGCCTGGGAGATCTGCTTGCAGAAGGCCCCAGCCTTGAGAACCCGTGGAGCAGTTCTCTGTGCACTGAGGCTGCCTGGGTGGGCGTGGGTCCCATCGGTCCATGGTCCATGGCAACAACTGAGCCAGCCCCTGAGGAGCTGCAGCCCTGGGGCAGGAACCGCCCGTGTGGGCGGGGCTCAGCTGGAGGCTTTCTGAAACAGCGAGGTCCATGTCTTCCCAAATGTGGTTCTGTCCTTTGACTGTGATGAGTTGTTGGACTGGGGTCTTCACACCTTGCAAATGAAATTCCTACCTGGGTTCTGAGTAGACTCTGGCTCATGCCAGATGCTAATGGAATCCATGATGACTTCCTGCTGCCACCCCAGAGCCCCATGGCCTCGGTCCCTCCTTCCTCCCCACTTTTTCTAGTTCTACGTCGTTGGTTCTCCCCTTGAGGAAGCTCGGCCTTTGTCGGTGCAGATGTCCCAGCTGGCAGACCCCTTAGCAGTGGACTTCTGGTGTGCAGCCTCTCCCAAATGCACACAGATGCTTGGGTGGGCTTGGAGCCCCTTGGTCCTGTCAGTGGCCTTCCCCTCCCAGGCATGCTCGGGTTTGGTCTGTGTAATTCTTCCCTCATTTAACATAGCAGTGCTGCTGCCTGTACTCTTCCCGGGGATTAAACATCAGATTTAACATTTTAAACATCCCCCAAGAAAACCCACTGCTGTGGAGTCAATTTCAACAGGAGTGGAACTGCCCACAGGGTCTCCAAGGCTGTCAATCTTCACGGAAGCAAAGCCCAAACCACACCCACTGCCGTGGAGTCCATTCTGACCCACAGCGCCCCTAGAAGACAGAGTGGAACTGCCCACAGGGTCTCCAAGGCTGTCAATCTTCAGGGAAGCAAAGCCCAAACCACACCCACTGCCATGGAGTCCATTCTGACTCACAGCGCCCCTAGAGGACAGAGTGGAACTGCCCCACAGGGTCTCCAAGGCTGTAGTCTTTATTGAAGTAGACTGCCTCATCTTTCTCCCAAGGAGTGGCTGGTGGGTTCAAACCACTGATCTTTTGGTTTGAAGCTGAATGCTTTAACCACTGCGCCACTAGAGTTCCTTTTTTAAAACAGAGTGAACTTCAAGAAAAAGTCACCATGCCTGATAAATGGCTCCTGCTGGTAAATCTTTTGTAGGAGCTCTGGTGACATAGTGCCTAAGGCATTTGACTGCTAATCAGAAGGCTGGCGGTTCAAACCCAGCAGCCACTCCTCGGAAGGAAGACTGGGCAATCTACTTCTGTAGTGATACCACCTCGGAAACCCACGGAGGGGGCACTATGAGTCAGAACTGACTCGTCAGCAGTGAGTTTAGTTTGGTTTTCAGTAAATCTTTTATGAGGCCTATTTTTTAGGTTTTGATCTTTCTTTGTGTTCTTTATAGACGGGTCTCATGCTTAATTCCTCAGGTAGATTTTCAAGATGTTGACGCTAGGACCTTGGCAGAGAGAAAAAGAGAAGAGGAGAAGCGGAAACGCTTGGAGAACATGTACAAGGAACGAGCCACACAGGCTGAGCGGGAACTGGAAGGCAGGTCACCAGGACTGGGGGGCGCTCTGCCCCTGCACCTTCCCTGGGAGACCCACCCCTCCGACGGGGCTGCATCCACTCTGCAGGCCCACTGTGCCGGCACGTCCCCCACAGCACAGTCCCTGGGCCATCCCTCGTGCTCTGCTGGCCACCACCTCCTCCAAACTGGTCTCAGGGCAGAGCCTGCCCAGGCCTCAGAGGCTGCCTGGGCTGGGAGGCTGCTGGGGGAACAGGCTAGGTGGAGACAGCTTAGGTTGCCGGAGTGCACAGCCTGAGACCCCAGTCCTGTTCCCAAAGACCCTCCCGTGGGCCAAACCAAACCAAACCAGACACACTGCCGTCCAGTTGGATCCAACGCATAGCGACCCCTCCTTGGGTTTCCAAGGCAGTATCACAATGGAAGTAGATTGCCCAACCTTCCTTCCAAGGTGGGTTTGCACCTCGTCTTCTGGTTAGCTGTCAGATGCCTTAGGCACTACGCTACCAGAGCTTCCTCTCAAGGGCAAGCCCGGGTGTTCTCCAGGGAAGGGCTGCCTGGGAGGGGCCACTGCAGGCTGTGCACGCTCTTCTGCGCCCCCTGGTGGCTCTGCCTATGTATGATCATTTCCTGCGAGGGCCACCTGGGCACAGATAACCCAGAAAAGAGGAGAGGAGGGAGGAAAGGTGGGAGTGAGGGAAGGGACAGGACGAGAGGACCAAGGAAGGAGAAGACAAGGCGTGGAGGAGGGAGGGAGGCGTCCGTGCAGGCTGGGATCTGAGCTGCTTCCTGGCAGCCAGCCTTCCTAGAGAGCTAGCCAGGGTCTGAGGGGCACAGAAGAGGGGCCGTGGTGCCAGTGCCCAGAGCAGTGTCCTCGGAGGTGGGTGGCAGTGGCAGCTCTGAGTCCACTAGGTGCCAGGCTTCAGGGGCTCAGGTCTGTACTCAGGAGCCTCCTGCAGACCCAGACGTCCTGTTGCTGGGCGCAGCCTCATCCAAAGGCCACTTTTGGGAGGGCCAGGCCCCATGGAGGAACCCTGGCCCTGGGGTTATCAGACAGGCGCCCGGTCCGCCAAGGAGGGGCTGGGTGTGCCCGGTGATGGGGCAGGGGACACGTGGCCTGCGACACGTGTGTGTCTTAGTAGCACCCAGCTGTCGGCCCCTCTCCTGAAGGCCCGCCCTCCGGGGTAGCCTGTCTCACTTGGTACTCTGTGATGCACCAAGGCACTGCCGTCTCGGCGCGAGTTCAGACCCGAGGGGCTGTTGCCAGCCACGCCGTGGCAAATGGCCTTGCAGGCCGGCTGCTGAGCTGCGAGTTTATTGAGCAGTTAGACGGCCTCTGGCGGTGTGTGCACAGGAAGCTGGCTTCTGTTGTCAGGGACGGAGGAAGGGGAGCGGAGGAAGGTGTGGGGTGGCAGCCAGTGTGTTCAGGGAGATCGTGTGTGTGTGTGTGTGCGCGCGTGCACGCGCGCACACGTGCACATAGGTGCAGCCTGGGGCTCCAGCCCACCTGGTGCTGCAGGTGGCCATCCTTTCATAGGTGGGGGCTCCTGGGGGCGGGCCTCTGGCAGGTTTCCAGGCGAGGGGTATGGTTTGCTCCATTGGCTCATCAGCGGATCCTTCTTGTCTTTCAGCAGAAATGTCTGGAGAAATCCGGTGCTGCCTAACGGAAGTGGAGAGCTGCTTTCGCCTGTTGGTCCCGTTTGACTTCTCCCCAAGTGGGCCTGCTGAGGACAGCCCTCCCTCCTCGAGCCTTGGCCCCCAGGACGAGGAGCAGCCCTGCTGCAGCAAAGACCTGCCTGCCTTCCCGGGGCCTCTGCGAGCCGTTGGCGGTGGGCAGGGGCTGCCAGAGGCAGCCACAGGAGACCTGTCAGGGGAGGAGCACGAGGAGCCGGGGGAGTTTGTCCGGAGCCACGGGCTCGGCTCGCACAAGTACACTCTGGACCTGGAGCTCTGTGCAGGTACCGGGCCGGCGGGCAGGTGCTGCATCTGGGGTGTCCCCGGCAGAGCAGACCCCGGGCCTGCAGTACAGCCCCGGCCTCCTCGGGGTGCTCCGGGGCAGGGGAGTCCAGCGTGTTCATTAAGCCTCCACTTAGCCCCTGGACTGTGCGCCCCTCCACGCCATGCCTCCTTGGTTGCGGGCTGGCTGCAGGGACACTTCCGAGAGCTTGTTGAAAGCCCTGGCATCTCACAGTGGCTCCTAGTGGGCTGTGAGCAGGGTGGGCCCCCAGGGTCAGGTGTGAGGGGCGGGGTGAGAAGGGCCACCTATGATGGGCAGACAATGACCTGTGACCCTGGGGAGGGGTTGGAGCCCCCCGCCTGGTCAGAGGTCCTGTCAGCATCAGAACGAGGCTGTGAGGGGTCATTTGCCATCTGCTCTTGCCTGGGAGCATGAAACAACTTACTTGACACGGATCGTAACAGGCAGGGGCCTTGTTGGCCCCCGGCATTCCCGCCTTGGGGCTGCATGGCTTCACTCATGCTCAGAACCACTTGCCTGGCCGCAGTGGGCTTGGGGGCTGGTGTCCGGGGCACTCAGCCAGTGTGCAGTGTGGCTTCTCAGGTAACTTGTGGCTTTGAGTTGCGTCTGTCTGTGAAGTGCTCTCACTGAGCACTTGCAGGGGCGGGGCTCTGAGCGTCACGGGGCCCTCGGCTGCCGGGTACAGCCCGCGCTGCCAGTGGCTGGGAACGAGCACGCTGCAGGCTAGCACACCGAGGGACCACAGCTGTGGTGGCGCTTGTTCCCCGGGCCTGGCACATGTGGTCTTTGCCAGCACCCACATGCCGGGCAGCTGCTGGCATCCGGCTGCAGTCCCTTGGAAGCCAGCCTGTACTTTGTCATAAACACCCATCTGCTCACCAGCCACGGGAGCTCCCTGGCCCAACGCTGGGTCAGGAGGCGTGACCAGTGGCTGGCCCGAGAGCTGCAGGGCTGGGGCAGCAGTCTGCCTGGGGGGCGGGAGCCCAGGGCGGAGGCCACAGCAGGAGGTGGTGGTGGTCTTGCGGAGTGGCCCGGGCACAGGGAGCGAGGTCAGTGAGGCGCTCAGGACTTGGGGCTGGGGGCTCTGCAAGGACAGTCTGGGCGACCCGCAGGGCTGCCGCACGGACAGCGGGTTTGGGGGCTGGGGCAGGAGTCGGGATGGAGAGAACTGTCGGAGGTGCTTGCCCACGTCTGGGTAGGACGGGCTGCTTGACTGCCGCGGCGCTGAGCTGATCGAAAGGCGGGCGGGGGGGCATAGGTGGGAGAGGCCCAGGACAGGGCCAGGCTGTAGTGGGAGGTGGTCCCTGGCTTCTGGCTTCTGGAGCCACATGGTGGTTCCCCATCCCTGACGCGTACGCATGGGGATGGGGGTGTTGTGTGGACGATGGGGTTAGGAGATATGGGGGTGGCGTTGCTGGTGCCACAGGACAGTGGCACTGGAGGGTGGGCCGGTATGAGTTCGGTTGGGACGTGTGGATGGGAGGAGCCTGGAGACATGCAGGAGGGGGTGCTGGCGGGCAGCAGTGCCCACAGGGACCTAGACAGGAGTTTCCTGTCCTGGGCGGGTATGGACAGCCTCTACCTGTCCACGCTTGGCCTACACCCACTGCTTGTCTGGGCTGCCTCAGCCCCGTGTCCTTTGCACTGTCCCCTCCCTGCCTGCTGCCTCCCTCCAGCTGGAGCCCCACCGTCAGTCTTTGTAGCGGCTCTTGTTCCCGAGATCCCGCCAGCCCCGGCCCTGGGGAAGCCTAACCTGTGTGACCTCGGCGCACTGTGCAGCCCGTCGTGGCTAAAGAAAACGCACCACCACGCAGCCGCCGTCCGTGTGGCCTTGGGCTCGGCGAACCTCCAGGGCCCCAGCCCTGCTCTCCGGTTCTTTCAGGACCACGCCCCTGTCGGCTGCACGCGGCGTCCCAGCACCTGTGCTTCCATGTGCTCCTCTCGTCCCCGCAGAGCGCGAGTCCCACACAGGCTAGAGTCTTCCTCCGGTGTGCCGCCTGGTTACCAGTACTGCTGGGTCATCTCCCCGTTTTGTCCGTGTTTGTGTTTGCAGAATAGAGAGGCCTACATTCTCAGAATATCAGCTCTTCTTGTCTTTCCTTGTTGGTTTCTGGCTTTGGTGTCATTTTAAGAAGTCACTTAGAGTGACCTTACTTCTCAAGGTGGCATTTTGGGATTCAGGAGCTATCATGGATGCGGGGCGGCACGCAGACAGTTCAGAGGGATCCATGGCTTTCACCCTCGGGGGGTCCCTGACAGGTGGCGCACCCTCACCACCTAGTGAGCCCGGGCCTGTCTCGGGCCTGGGTGCCCCACCCTACCTGAGGGACAGAGTCTGGGCCCCTCTGATGACCTCTGGCCCCTCATGGGCTTGTTGCAGATGACCTGCGGGTACAGGAGAATGAAGACAACAGCGCCGTCGTCCACAGTGCCCGGGACGCGCTCAAGCTCATCCAGAGCAAGTTCCTGCCAGCCGTGTGCTCCTGGGTGCAGGTGAGGGGCCGCCGAGCTGCCCGGGGCTCGGCCGTGTGTTCCTGGGTGCAGGTGACGGGCCACCGAGCTGCCCTGGGTCTGGCAGGTCCCGCCGGCCGTGTGCTCCTGGGTGCAGGTGAGGGGCCGCCGAGCTGCCCTGGGTCTGGCAGGTCCCGCCGGCCGTGTGCTCCTGGGTGCAGGTGAGGGGCCGCCGAGCTGCCCTGGGTCTGGCAGGTCCCGCCGGCCGTGTGCTCCTGGGTGCAGGTGAGGGGCCGCCGAGCTGCCCTGGGTCTGGCAGGTCCCGCCGGCCGTGTGCTCCTGGGTGCAGGTGAGGGGCCGCCGAGCTGCCCTGGGCCCAGCGGGCACGTGGTCCGCAGCAGGGAGCTCCTGCTTGAGGCTGTGTGGCCCCCGGCCATGAGCCAGGCCTGCAGGCGTGCTGGAGAGGAGGATTAGACAGTGGGGCTCGGGTGGGCTTCAGAGACAGCTGAGAAAGCTAGTGAGGGAGGGATCGCCCCCTGGGATGGCAGTGGGCGGCCAGGCCTGGGAGACTCTCCCTGGGTCAGCGCTGTGGGTCCGCCCTCAGCCCCTCGGGTCTCTCTATCCCGGGTGTGTCCAAAGAAAGTGCCCTCTTCTCACGGGGTTGCTGAGGCTGTGAGCACCTGTGGGCCCGACACCTCCTGTGCTTTGCAGCTGTTCACCCGGGCGGGGACTCACGGCCAGCGGCTCAAGCAGGCCATCGACCTCAAGGAGGAACTGGAAGTCACTGTGAGGAAGTACCAGGAGTTGAATATCAGGCCTCTGGAAGCGCCCCCAGCACTGGTGAGTGGCCGGTCGGTGGGGGTGTGGGGGTGCTCAGAGGCACCCGTGATTGAGGTGCACGTGCTGTCCTGTCCTCGCCCCCACTGGTGTCTGCCTCCAGTCTAGACCCAGGAGAACGGGCCCCAAGCTTAGCGGGCTTCCTGTTCACACTGTGGCGGCTAGGTGGGGGGACGGTGTGGCGGGCAGCCAGGACCATGGCAGGGGGTGGAGAGGAAGAGGGTGCAGAGCCCAGAGCGACAGGCACGTTGACTCCAGACTCTGGACTTCAGGGGAAGCTTTGGGCCGTGTTCTTTGCTGAGGGAAAGATCAAGTTCCAAGCCTCTCAGAAGGGCCTAGGTCTTCCCCAGACAGTGGCTGACACCCTCCCATGGAGCAGGGTGGTGTGGCGGCAGGGTGACCACGTGACCGTGCCGTGGAGGGGAGGGTGGCCCAGGAGTGCAGGGGCCTGCGGGACGTTTTTAACCTGGCTTGGCTCCACCCAAGGGACCAGGCCACTGGGTGCTGCTGCTTTGGGCTAGTCCTGGACTCTGCAGGCAGTGTGCCCAGGCCCCCAGAGACCAGTAGAGGGCGATCTTGCTCCTCGTCCTTAGGTCTGTCTCTTGAGTTGAAGGAGAAAACGGGTAACTGGGGAAGTGGCCTGGCTGCGGGCTGGCTGCTGGGGACGTTGGGGAAGTGGCCTGGCTGTGGGCTGGCTGCTGGCTGAGGTGGTCAGCGCGGCGGACACGAGTTGGTGGGTATTCAGGGTGCCTTACCAGAGTCCGTCTTGGTGTGTAACTTAAACCAAAACATAAGGTATTTCTGTGACTTTTGACCAAAATCCACTTCTTCACGATGCAGAAAAGTCTGGTTATGGGAGGCCGACGACAATTCCCAAGTATTCAGGTAGCGTGTTGCCGATGGGGATGAAATTCTGAGCAATCCCAGGGGAAGAACGGCCTTGGGGTGGAAGGTGTGTGCCCAGAGTGAGGGTGTCCGACGGTCACGCTGAACGGGAGGAGATTCGGGGCCTCTGGGGCCTGCCCCTCTGGGTCTCTGTTCAGGAGAGGGAGGGAGATCTCTGCTAAGCTTTCGTGAGCCGTCCTCCCATCTTTCTTTGGCTGCTGTGGGCAGCTTCTGCTCCGTTGGGACAGGCTGTGCAGGGGCTGGGGTCCCAAGGAGACCTGTGGTGGCCGCCTGCCCCCGTCCACCAAGGACAGCCCCGCTGCTCAGCTCCTGCACTCAGAGTTCTGTGTGGTGGTGACCATGGTGCCCCTAGAGGGCAGTGGGGTGCTGCAGGCATTGTTCACAATGCTGTGAGTGGCCACAGAAGACAAGCTGTTGACTAGCGTGGCTGTCCCCCAGCAGCCTAGGGACTTTAAGCCATAGCGCGGGGTGGCTCCTGGGTATCCTGGGGGGCTCCAGGACAGCCCGGCCACTCTCCTTGACCTGGGGCTCTGGTGGTAGAACTTTCTAGCTTGCCTGAAAGTCCCCTGAGCCCTGCTCTCACCTCATAGCTCCAAGGCCTTCTCCAGGGCTGGCTGCCATGGGCAGGTCTCATTACTGATGGGCCTGGCCACGGCCCTGGCCTGGGTGGGTCTCCTCGGGCAGCTCAGCTGGCATAGCAGGAGGCGGCAAAGAGCCACGTGGGCCTTGCGTGCTGCAGCGCCCAGTGGTGCATCGGCCGTGCTGTGGGCGACCTTGCTGGGAGCTCCCCGAGCATGCTCGCTGAGGTGCGCACGTGGAGATCCTGCATGTCTCCTGTACCCACATCTCCGCGTGTGCACTGGGGGACCGTGTCAGTGGCCACCGCAGGAGGCCCTGTCGGCAAGGCCCCAGCCTGGCCTCTGCCCCATTCTGCTCTGACTCGGGAGCCTGGGCCTGCCGTCTCCTGCAGACCGCCCTGCCCTCGGTGCTCGCTGGCCTCCTGCTTGCTGGAACGGTGCCACGTGTGCAGCCAGGGCGTGTGCTCCACGCTTGCCGGGTGGTGGGAGCCAGGGGAGGGCACCGGGGCCCTCGGATGTGTACAGGGTTGTGTGTTGATGCTCTGTCAAGAGGGGCAGCTGCTGTCACCACTGTCATCCCCCAGCAGATGCCCTGCTCCAGCCCCACACGTGTGTACCTCCTCTGACCCCTGTGGGCAGGCAGCAGGCCTCCGTCCTGTGTCTTGATAGGTGCAGCCTGGCTTCATCTCGCTTGGAGCCTGAGCTGCTCAGAGGGCAGGACCCCGCTAGGCCCTCAGCTTGCAGGACCTATGTGGGCACAGGGGTGTGTGCTGGGCAGGGCAGAGGTATGGGACACGGCATGAGCACTCGTGGTGGCCCAGCTCTGGATTGGGAGGCTGATGGCTGAGCAGATGTCCTCTGTCTGCCCCAGCGGCCGGCGAGGCTGGGACAGTGAGGGTGCTGACCGGGGAGGCTGGGGCATAGCGCCCCAGCTGGAGAACTTCAGAGAGGGAAGGGGCAGTGCTCCCAGCCACAGTGGTGTAATGGGGTAAACTGAGGTAGCACCCTGAGGATGCCTGGGTGGAGGGGGCTGACCCTATGCCAGTCAGCACGGTCCAGCCAGCAGGCTTGCCCACGGGGACCGTCGGGTGTGGCTGGGCCTCACTTGAGCCGTTTGTCAGAGGCGGCACTCGGGCGCCTGCCACGGTCGGTCGGGCCTGTCAGGTTGCAGTGACTAGGATTGGAAGGTGTACGGCTTTGGTGGGAGGAGGAATCGCTCGCCTCCTCTGTCAGGTGAACAGACACTTTCTAGACCCTTCTCCACCAGTTGATTTTTAAAAAGGCACCGGCTCTGAAATCCTGGGGGATTTTGTTCATTCCGTGCTCACGGGCTTGCGGCACAGAGCAGCCTGGAGATGAAGTGATTGGCGGCCTGCAGGGCTGTGAGTGGCAGCACCCAGTCTCAGGTGAGCCCGCTTCCCAGAATAGACGCGGCAGGCGCATATCTGCTCATCTCCTGGCGGGTAGGCGGCGGCGCCGCAGCGCGGCAGGGACGGTCCGCCTACAGCGGCCTGCGCAGAGGGCAGGTGGCTGCCGCTAACGAGTGGTGGCGTCAATTAGAGCCCTTTTAATTAGAAATTAGGAACAAGCTGTTGTTCGCCATCTTCAGATGAAATTTACGGAGGGTTTAAATCACCTGCCTCAGTGTCTCCCTGCTTGCTGGGCACTGGCTCGGCCTCGTTAACTCCGCCCGTGGAACAGGCTGAGCGGGGGGCACTCACTCGGTAAGGCGTGGTCCGGGATCTTGAGGCTTTTAACAAACGTGTGTGGGGCCGAAGCAAACGTGATGCCGGGAGTCGGAATCCAACCTCGGTGGCTCGGGTGCAAGCTCAGAGCCCGGCCTCTGCTCCGCCCGGAGCGCTGGGGCCGCAGTGCCTCTCCCCCGGCGGCCAGGGCTCCAGCAGCAGCTGCAGCGCCATCTGTTCTTTTGCGGTTTTAAGATTTCCAGGCTCTGTCTGCTGCCGTCGGTTCCTACACGATGTTGTTTCCCTTTTGACATAGATGTTCCGTCTTTAAAAAATATTCCAGCCGGTTTAAATATGTTTAACTGTTTGTTTTATAGAGTGTGTCTGTGTCGGTTCCGTTTGGAAGGAGGCTGGGGATAAATCTTCGATAGATCAATACGGAGGATCGTTCGGGAAATTTAGTTTGCAGCCTGGCTCTGTTACGGGGCAGGTGTAATAACCCGTGCCTGCCACATCCGTTAAGCTGACACAAATCCTGTGCGAACTTTTAAACGGCCTGCTGTTTAATTATGTAGCGAAGAGCACAGATTGTTGTGTGTTGTGTAATTAACAAAATATTAATTCCCAGCCACCGTAGAACGGTCTCAGCCCCAGTCTGTTGAGTAGGCTCAGTGCTGTCCCTTCGTCATCTTTTTAAAACCCGGCCATCTGTTGAAGAGGCTGCTCTCGGGCCCCTCACCAGCACCTCGGGTCCGACGTGGCAGCCGAGTGTTTCCTAGCTGTGGACACACCCTGATGCACTCACAGACGCGGACGCTGGTCCACCTGAGTCCTGCCTGCTTCTCTGTCAGTGTTGGCCATCTGCCTGCCTTCCTGAGCAGCCACACCACCAAACGTTGCTTCTGATGTCAGAGGCCCTGAAGGCTGGGGCCGGGGCGAGCTGCCGAGCCAGCCGCCGGGTGGGCCCAGCCAGGCCAGGGCAGCTGTGTGTCTCAGCTGTCGAGCAGGTTCCTGACGCTGCCAGAGCCGCACGAGGGTCAGGCTTCCTGTCGGTGAAAAGACAGGAGGAGCCCAGGCGAGGACGCAGTGTCTCCCACACCAGGCACCTCCAGCGGGGGCAGGAGCTAAATCACCGGCCGTCAGAGACCCCGTGTCGCGGCGCCGCCTGGGAAACAGCCTTCCCTGCTGACGGGACGCCTTCCATCACGGCTGAAGGCCGAGCCGCCAGATCCCCGGGAGGGCTGCGGGCCAGGCCTCGGGGGCTGGTAAGCCCATGGTCGCGGTGTCAGCCCGAGAGGAGCGGGAGGTGGCTGCGGCCTCGGGGCGGAGAGCTCGGGTTCAACACGCTCCCTCCCTGGAGTTTTCTCTTCCTGGTGCCCAGCCGCCAGCATAGAGGGTCCCACTTGGCAGAAAGTTCCTAAACACTTCCATACAGTCATCCCTTCAGGTGCTGTGAGGTAGATGATGTAAGCCCCATTTTACAGATGAGAAAACTGAGTCTGGGGGAGTTGTGTGAGCTTTGGTCACGTTGCCAAGAGCTGAGCCCCCAGTGGAGGAGCCACCCAGTGCGTGTGGCTGTTGGGGGACACAGCTGAGCCCTCTCCTGCCTGGCCCTCTCAGGCTGCTGTCCGTGGCTGCTGTGAGCACTGTCACCTCAGAGGTGGCACTGGAAAAGAGACAGGAAGCTGGTGGCTGGCTGCAGAGTGTGCGAGGGGGAGTCCCTCCGCCTTCTCTGGAGCTGGCCGAGGGCTGACAGTGACTCCGCAGGAGCCCCCAGGAGCTCCCAGGGCGTCGAGTTACCTGCCCCTCCACTGGTGATGCTGGGTTATGTAGTGTTCGGTAACCCTGGTGACAGTGCTGCAACCCCCCCTGTGCAGGGGGTACGAGTCCTGCAGCTACCACGCCTGACCCCGGGGTACAGCTCAGTTTGGCCGTACCCTGGAGAAAGAGGCCCTCCCGGTGTCGGTTTATCATTTGGGAAGACGGTGGACTGTTCAGCCGGGGTCTGTCGGGGCCAGCACAGCACGTCCCCGACCCATATGGCGGCTGCTCT